ACCGCCTTCATGGTGGCACCCAGCTTCGTGCGGATGGCGCCGGCACCGCAGGCGCAGGCGGGCTTCAGGAGACAGGGAATGCAACGAGGCTCAAGAAATAATCGAGCAATAAGAACTTGTATGATTGATATCATAAATTGCGGGTGCAACAGTCTAGTCACCAAACCTCAGCCGACCTTGCGCCGGTTGCAGGCGACAACGCCGCGTTCAGCAGCCTCTCGTGGAGAAAGGGAGAAGTGAGCTTGAGGGTGCCGGCATCAGCGTTCTATGGTTTTGATGGGACACCGCTGCCAAGTGCAGTTTTGACCGTTGCCCCCACTTTGCAGAAAGTGAAGAACAGTGTTGGAGTGAAGGTGTCCATGTGGAAGGTAGCTCTGAACATGCCCTTGATGTGGGACTGGATTGCATCAAATCGTAATATCCGTCAATATTCTTCAAATTCAGAGCTCAGAACATGATTTTGACCATTGCCCAGTTGGCAGGAGTGACAGCCCCTCTTTGCCTGCGTTTTGGCCACCCCGGTTTCTGCCATTGTCCCTGATTCGTTTTTTTGGCTGCTCGGATGTGGTGGCATGTTTGTATGGGTGAGGCTTCGCAGAGGTGGTCATGCTTGTTTGATTGCACAGCTTGATTGCTTAGGGCTGCGTGCTTGCCTGCCTTGGCTTGCTTGCCTTGCCTGCCTGCAAGCCGCGGGAAGCCGGCCTGCTCGCAGAGCAGCTCAAGCCTGCCACCGTGTCCCTTGCTCCAAATCCATCCCAGTGCCCAGAGTGACGCGGAGTGACGCAGAGTGACGCAGAGTGACGCAGAGTGACGCGGAGTGAGCAGACGGGGGCTTCTTTGGCGAATCCGGTCAAGCCCAGGCCATGCGGGAGCCCCTTGCTTAGAGTCAAGCGATGTGAAGTTGTCAAGGGCCTTTGATCTACCCCATGTTTTCCGTAGGGGGCTAGGACAGGGCCACAAAGGCACAAAAAGGGGTGCTTTGCCTTCATGTTCCCTTGAAAAGCTGTGAGAGACTTTGCATTCAAGCAGTTTTGTGATGAAGCACAGTTGGAGAATGTGGTGCAACGAGTGTTCTTTTGCCAGACTGTCAAAATGGTGCCCCGCGCTGCAAATGTTTCATGGCCAGGATGTTGACCTTGAAGTGTTTGAAACCAAGTCTTTGTTCCCTGCACTAGCGGGATGACCTATCTAGGCAAAGGTGTCAGCACTAGCAATACGGCCTGAGGTCGGATGCAAAGTGGCTTCCTGAGCTTATGCTTTCAACGCATGGTGTTTGTCATTTTGCTGCTCCTGCGAGCAGGTGCGTGTGCATGTATGCAAGTGCGTGTGCGATTATGCAAGTCTTCCCAGCTGCAGGTTTGGTAAACTGTGTTGCTTCCATGCTGGAAACCTACCCTTAGTGGCGCACAATCAACGGGCAATATGTATCAACATGCTGCAGCATCGGTGACGCATAATCAGTAGCTGCCTTGCCTCAACGAGTTTCCACGTTTCTCAGATTGCAAAGTGCCCAATCTTCCCATGCGAGAGACGCCCCAGGCCCCAGGAGTGGCTTCATCGGCATGTGAATTGATCTGAGGCGCAGCGTTAGCCCAGTGCCGGCGGGCACCATGGAGCGGGTGGTGCGCGGTGCTGGGAGCTGAGAACGGTTTCTTGGGGCTGGCCTACCCTCCCCACTCAGGGATGCTTCTTCTCGGAAAATCGCTAAGACCCACAGGAACTGGGAGTTTGGAAAAGAAGGATTGGGAATCTGGCCAGCAAAAGGCCCGCCCCTTACTTAAAGCGCCAAACACATTGGTTCTGCTTAGGGGAGCCAGTTCGTGACCTGTTTTGGGAACTTGGCTTCAAACCACAATTTCTTACTGTCCAGCCGGTTTTGCGGATGACTGCTGGAGCAATGGAGCGCGTTTCCCCTGCACAGATTTGATGTGACTCAGGCCAGACAGGAGAGCAAGTGAAAGCAGGATGTATAGATTGCAGGCCGCGAAGGGGCAGCAATGTGCCTGGCTTCGGCCTTCGCAGCTGAGCAGCCAGTTGGACAGCAGTCAGTTGCCCAGCTGGCGCACCTCGTTGTTTTCTGTTTGCATTCCAGCACTGGCGCCAACCAGGCAACAGCATATGAGAAAAGGTGCAAAGGGGAGGCTCAGTGACAAGCAGCCAGAAAAAACAACGATTTTATCGTACTTCAGCACAAGGTAGTAGCGCTTGGTCACTCAAGTTGGGCTATCCTGCCATTCCGGCTGCGCATATGCGCAACCAATGGCTGTTTTGCTCGTTGGTGCCTGTAACTGAGCCAATGATCAAAAACGACACCAGGCCATCCGTGCATGGGCAAAAAGGCGTTGCTTAGAGTCAGTAAGTTTCAAGAGGGCTTTTGTCGAAGCCAGCGGCAGTGGCAGCCACCGTACATGTGACAGAAAGCCCTCACCCGGTAATTCCAGCACTCAATAGCTGATACACATCTGCCGTGTCATGCATTGTTCTTGGGCACACGTCTTTCCGGGCTTTCCTGTTGGGCGCGAGCACAAGATGGCGACATGTCCAAATCAGTCAGCCGTGGCCACGTGCACAATTCATAGGGTACCTTAGGAACTGAAGCTTCTCAAGACGCCTTGCGCATGCTCATCCTCTTCTGTTTCTTGCATGGCAGCTGATCACCTTCGCCCAAGCATTGATCCACAGTGAGCCCCCCTCAACACTCAACAAGGGGCGTATCATGGCGTATCATTGTACACCGGGACATGGGATCACTTGTGCACCGAAATTCCCGAATCATCTAAGCTTAAAACCGGTTTTACCCCCCCACTACCGCCACCTAATTTCAACACTGGATACCGTCCACCGTGCAAAGACAATCCGTGCGGGGTACAGACAGTTCCTTAGGCATTGAAAGTGGGCCCGTCCGAAAATCCTACCGCGCAGTCTTGCAAACGTTGGTCCTTTCTGTACCCTAAACTCATGCAGCACCGCGCACCTGCATGCTTTGCGATGTTTTGCTGCAGCAGGTCAAGCAACTTAGTCGTTGTGCATGTTGAGATTGGCCAAGATTCAGAACTTCAGGTGCGGATTTGGGCCACTTTCACTTTTTCCCGGCGAGGGATGATAAGTGTACCTGCAGCCTTGGGTTGGCTCAGCTATCACACCGTTGCTCGCCTTTCAGCAACTTCAGCCATGGCCACTGGAATGGAGGCTGGACGACAGTGCTGGGCACAAACTGGGCATTCCGATCTTGCATTTTGCCAGGGCTGTAATTAGGTTTGTGGGAATGTGTTCTGGCAATTGGGGCAGAGGATCTTGGTGGGAAACAAGCCGTGCGTGCCTTCTCTTTGCGCCCGCAAGAACTACAACGACTTCCAGCTCTTCCGTGCTTGTGGCCCGCTCTATCCAGCTTTCGCCATTGAGAGCTTGACAAGCCCCCCGGCACATGTCAAATGTCCATGACCTACGCGCAAAAGAGAAACTCCACCATACTTTGCAAATTGGGAGAGCGAAAGGCCAGATTGTAGCAGAACTTTAAGGAAGCCATATTTCAACAGGGCGCGCCGCAAGTCTCCCGCGTTCCCTGCTTCACAGCCATCCTGTATGGACTGCTGGTGCATAGCTTTTCAGGCTACTCGACCATTGTCAGTAGCAAATCCTAGCTGTCCCAGGAGCGCAACTCCCCGCAGCCAAGGCATTCTACTTGGCTTCTTCTTTTGCTACCTCGCCCTGCGCATCACCGTTCGTACTGCGACCTGGCCGGATGCAATTTGCCCATGAGGAGATAGATTCCTGTGACATGCTGTGATTATTGTAAGCAGCTCTTGGGTTGCCTTGAGTGCCCCACCATTTCCAGCATTTTCCAGCCACCAAGCCACAAAGTCCTGGCTGACAACGCAGAACCACACACACGGAGACGCAGAAACATGCTGCTTGGCAGGGGGCATCACGGTCTCCGTCCCAAGCTTTTCCGAGGATGTGAACGCACCCATGGCGTCCATGTACCGTTGGATCGTGGACAGCTTGAAGCAGCCCCTCCGGTTTTGGTGGCAGGAGCTGGAAGGGGAGAGTGCCCCAAACGCCGTGAAGGGCAGTGTTTTTGAAATTTCGGCTGAGTCAGTCAAATTATCCGCAACCAGGGGCCCTTTTTACGAAGGCCAGGATTTGCATAACCAAGCCAGCCCAACTTGTATTTGTCGTGTTGTTTGAGTTACCCTCGGAGTTAGGGTTTGCCGCCGTTGTTTTGAGGAGGTCAAAATGCATAGAAAGCGTGCTGGAGTTTTAGGTAATTATTATTTTGCGCAGGAGATGAAGCAGTGGCCGGACATGCCAAACCGTCCTTTGGCAGAGCCTCAGCCAAGCATTTTGACATACTTTGATGGCGGCTGTTCAGCATGCAGGCCACAAGAGCTCGAAAGAAATGGTGGCTGGTTTTCATCCGCATTTCTCGGCCAGGTCTCTCCAATCCCTTGTTGGCGGGGTGGGGTTCTGCCTGCCTTGTGCGCGTGCCCTGAGTGGAGTGAACATCCAGTGTCGGCTCCAGGATGTCCGTGCGTTGTTCTTTGACACGTGTGTTAGCACGCGAGACCGCCCATGGCACGTGGACAGGATTGCCCGTTTGGCTCTGGTCCTAAGTTTTCTGACAGCCAGTCTCAGTGTAAGGACCGCATCAAGCTGTGCCGGCTTCTGAACCTGGCCATGTGCATCGCGCAAGCAGCGGCGGCGTTCTTCACAGTGCTCCGCTGGCTGCACATCTCCAACGTGCCCCTTGGCTTGAGATTCCAGGGGGCAAAACATTCCAGTCCTCAATTCATTGTGCTTGGGCTCGGAGGCTTGTCGGTACTAGTAGTTACTGGGTAGCGCTGCTCCTGCTCCGTCTCCCTAGTGAAGTGCCTGTGTATGTTCGCGCGTGCTCCCATTGCTCATTTATCCCACACATTCTTATGCTGAAGGCTCGGCAAGCATGTGGAGAGGGCTCCTTGGATGAAGCGCCTGCAATCCTTCAGACACATTGCAGCAAGGAATGGCCTGCGTTACCTGGGCTACGCCTTTACCTGCGCGTTGATGCAGGCAGAGCTTGTGGTGCTAATTGCCCCATATGTGTCTTGCCAAGCACTGGCTGGGCGGGCCTTGGGCATGCTCAGCGATTGAGAACAAGTTCTTTGGAAGGAAGGCCCCAGTGAAGCCTGGTGCGGCATTTGGCGAACAAAAAGTGCTCAAGTGAATGTATCTTATTCTACTTGCCCGTGGGATGGTTGTCCATGTCTGCAAACTAGACAAATTCGACCTGCAAACTCATACAATTCGGCGCAAC